TTTAAACTTTTCAACACTGAAGTGATTTGTGCTTTTTTCCTAGCCAATGTGCTCAGGTGAGCGATGTGACCCATGGGCCTCGTGTTGTGTTAGAGTGACGGTGTGTTGTGTAATGTTGTGTTTGCGTGTCAGTGTGTTATGTAAAGTTACGTCAGCGTGACGGAGCGTGCTTTGTTTTAGTGCGACGTCGTGTTGTGTAAAGTTGCGTTAGCGTGACAGCGACCGTGTTGTGTAAAGTTGCATTAATATTACGGTGTGTTTTGTGTTGTGTAAAGTTGGATTAGCGCGGTAGCACCTATTTTTGGCCACAAACTATAAAAAAATTATGTTCCAGCTAGAATATATAATGCAATTTTCTAGGATGAGTTTGAAAATATTTATTCAAATCAATAAGATTAGATAATTCCAGGGTTCTGACACTCTCACACAATATCATTTTTTTTTATCTTTTCTGCATTTCATTAATTTATACGTGATTTTTTATAAATTCTGGCTGATGAATAACTAATTGATATTATATTTTATCCTTTAGTTTATAATTGCGTTTAAAGTACAGTGTAATCATATTTTAATTAACGTTTATACATGTATTTATAGTTTATTTTTGGTTCATACATGTATTTTTATGCCAATTGTCTTTGTATAGTCAGCTTTTAAAAGAGAGAAACTCATTACTTGCTTCAAATTGCATTTATCATTCTCATGGAAATACACTGTATATATGTATATATATGCAATAAAATGTGTTCTAATCAACTTATTGTGAACAAACATCAAATTGCGCGGACGGAAACGGCCGAGTAGAAACAATTAATAATTTAAGTAGAAAGAATTTCTGTTGTACCCATCCCCTTCGAGTGCCTCAGTGACTATTTACCGGTGGTAACCCCTATTGAGATAAAAATCAAGATGGAGAGTGTACACTGTTAAATTTGTATTTATTTATAATGTTTATTTATAATGTTTATTTATAATGTTTGGTAATTTTTCTTCTCGTGACGAGAATATAAACATGAATGCTTCGGGAACTTGTAAGAAGACGGCGCGGACTGGCTCTGATAGTCCAGATAATGTAGGAGATTTGGATCCGCGGATCCAGGTAAGCCGGATACGCCCCTTTATTTTCTCGGACTGATTTAAGCATTTCATTTTTTAAAATCATTTTGCAAAAAATCCTGTGAGGTCAGACAAGGAAGTTATTTGTCTAAAATATCGTTATTATATTGTTCTGTAACATGGTAGATATTAATGTAAATAATGATGTATTTTAGGAAATTTTATATAAAATATCGTGGACCTTATTACAACACAGGTATAGGCATGTAGTAACGACTTATCCTATCTAGCCCTTACTTGACTTATCTGTATTACGCAGCGCTTAACAATACAATGTAAAGATACTACAGCTCATAAAGCAAATAAAAATTAATTGACCTACATATATTTTTATCGAAAGTTTGACTATTATGCTTTAAATGTGATCAGGATAAAATGATTGTAGATCTACTTAGAATTAGAATGCAATGATATCTCTCACACACATTGGCGGATTTAAATGAGAGAAAAGGAGAGAGATCTAGAGAGAGAGAGAGAGAAGTACACCCGTCCTCTTTAAACATACACTGTACAATGAAGACTGGTGTTGCCAAAATTTTAGAAAATTGTATTTTTAAATAGTAAATTTGTAATAAGGAGCCGAACGTAAAATCGTCGCATTTTGAAAACTTAAAGGGGCTTAGACACAGATTTGAAGTTAATATTTTCTCAAATTTTCTGTATAATATATATATGTTGCTACAACTGTATAGCAATTCAGACGGATATATTATGAAAAACTTATTTTATGAAGTTATTGAAACAAAGAATTTCAGGACGTATTTGATTGGCACATCCTTGCACTTTCACAAAGTAAACTTTATCTTTAAAACTTAAGAAAAGTAGAAATTTTATTTGTGAATTTATGAAAAAAATATTAAAACTATAATCCAGAAAATGCAGAGTAGAAATGTGAGAAAGAAAAACCAACTCACCAGTACTGTCAGTCCGTGCTCAGTGATGTGTGCAGAGTTTAACAAATTACACCCCGTGAAACATAAGCTGTTTTTGTAAACAGGGCACAAGCTCTGTTATTGTTAATGTTTCTTCAATTCTTTGACTGGGGTGGACCACCCCCCCCCCATCCCCCCGGAAAAAAATGCTGGATCCGCGCCTTGTTATCTACAGCTTTTAAGGTGCATATTTTTTATTATTTGATTGTTCCTCAGTACAATTTCTTACTCATAATAGACGCTAATAATGGAGGCAGCGACATGTCTACCGTATTTATGGCTGGATTGAACAGTTCGCCAAGCGTTTGTAATGTTCGATAAAATAAATATGTACATAAAATAACTTTAAAAATTTTATGTGTTATGCTTTAACAAGGATATGCAGCGTGCCCGACTTATTAATAAATACATCAACGAAGCTGAAACTATGTTAAGAGATCGAGCTTAATGCGTCGTGGGTATTAAAATATACATGTACTTTTCAATATAGGGAATAATCGCGAGCTTCTGCAACACCCTCTTTTTGTTTGGGATATTCCTTAAATGTCCAGATTCCTCCCTGGCAGATCTTTCACCTGTCACTTCCAGGACATGGCACGGCACCATAATTAATTAAGGGAGGAGATAAGAAACTAGATCAGGATTCGAACCCGGGCCCCCTAGATAAGTGTTCTATCACTGCGCTTCCTGAACAAACCTGCCAGACCGCTTCGTGTATATGAAAAATATATTTGCAGACTCAACTGATAAATGTACATGAGGATCGATACACTAAAATACTTTACATACCGGAAGTGCCCTAATTAATGTTGACTTAAGGACCCTCTATACACCAGTGCAAATTGTTTTTGGAACATTGAGAAAATTATAATGTACATAGGGGTAAATTTTGCGCTTATACATGTATATGTAATTTTCAATATATGCATGGTACGTGGCATTTACCCCCAAGAAAATGTTCAAAGACAACAAAGTATCAATGAACAGAAATCACTGTTATTTTCTTCAGTGGAGAAAATACGTGCGTAAAAGTGTTCAGTTACTTTATCTTTAGCTGCAGAACTGTAGCGTTATGGTTTTATATTTTAGTCTTTGACCATAACGCTACAGATCCCGTAATGTCAATAAGCGCAAGATTTTCTTCGCACTTTGGGGATGTATTTCGCCACTTTCCAGCATTGGTCAATCAACGACCTTTCATCCCCTAATTCTAGATATATTCTGTAACCAACCTGTATACTTTATCCACCTCCTAACCGTTTATAGTCGTCTGGGGAAAAACCTTGCATGGATTTTTTTCCATACACAAAGCCCACAAACGATGTTTGATTAATTAATATGCATGCATTCTCGTGTAGTATAGTTCCAATAAGGGTAATGAATCTTTAAAAAAAAAAAAAATATATATATATATATATATATATATATATATATATATATATATATATATATATATATATATATATATATATATATATACACACACACACACACACACACCCTCACATGCATCACCGACCATTCGAGGACTATGACACCCCACATTCCTCCGAGGACTATACTTTCTAATTGAGATATTTTTTCAAGATTTGGTATATTTATAAGGTTTGGCACTAGATACACGATGGGGGGTTGCATTATGTTGTATTTTGAAAATTAAAGCATGATTTTTTCACTATGCTTTAGAGTACGTTGTGTTAACGTAAGAGGACGTTGTGTTAACGTGAGAGGACGGTGTGTTAACCTTGCGAGGACGGTGTGTTAGCCGTGAGAGGACGGTGTGTTAACCTTGCGAGGACGGTGTGTTAGCCGTGAGAGGACGGTGTGTTAACCTTGCGAGGACGGTGTGTTAAGCTTGAGAGGACGATGTGTTAAGCTTGAGAGGACGCTGTGTTAACCTTGCGAGGACGATGTGTTATCCGATAGAGGACGTTTTGCTTATGCCCCACAAAAGACATGTAAACAAAGTTAGGAAACACATTTTCTGTTTTCAATCATTCTTACGGTGCGCTGTAAGAACGTGCGCCATGTGTGTTGACAATAAGGGTCATCATTCGTCATACACAGGCCGGGGGGGGGGGGGGGGGGTTGATAGCGTCGTGAATCTTAATTTACATAGTTTTAATCAAGACCTTCTTCGACCCTTCAAAAACATAAAATATTCATGTAGACCTCAACATTGTTCCAACCAGCAAAAGTACCGACTTTGTACGGTAGACCCCCCCCCCTCAAGTATTTCCCGGGAAAATGGTTTTAGAGGGGGAGTCCCCCGGAAAAACTGGATCTAGAGAAGGATTTCTACTAAGGAAAGCCAATATTTTCGAGAGATCATACACAGCTTAAAAGCTATAAAGTGTGACTACCCCTCAAGCCAATTTTCTCTCCACCTAAATTTTAGTTTTCGGCTTTTGTTTTATATTTTTCATAATTTTTGCCGATTAAGGAAAATAATAAAAGAACTTCAACACCCTTTTTTATCAATGCCGTTCCTTGATAGTACTACTTTAATAATAAGTGAACTTACAAAGGCTGATGATTTTAATGGCATTTGCCCCCCCCCCCCCAAAAAAAAGCATTATAGAACAGATATAAAGAGCTAGGTTTCCATAGTGTTCTTTTTCTTCCTTTATTTACTTTCATGAAAATAGATATTATTAGATATTATAATTCATTACATGCATTTTATAATACAAAAGCAAATCTTTGAAAAGAAAATATAAATCTTTTATGGACATGCACTGCCATTTTTATCCTCGCAACAAAAGTCCATACACAACCCCCCATGAAAGTACATTTTGTCATTACAAAAAGTACTGTATAACAATAACAAAGGTTTCCATAGTTGAATGTATATACAATGTAGAATTGTCATATAATTTAACGCGTTATATTTTCTCCTTTTCTATATAGATTACAAACCTCTCTACGCATAATTACGAGAAATCATGTAAAACTGATTCATTAATTACTGGTTATCAAGTGACATGGATTGATTTTTTACTCAAACTACAAGTATACTTTGGCCCCATGTTTTTTGAGAATTTTTGTTCCATCTTTTAAGTTAGGATGAACTTTCCCTCAAAATGAATAAATTATAGTTAAATAAATTAAAAAAAAAAACCAAGGAAAGAAAGAAATAAAAATTAACCCCCACCCCATCCCAAAAAAGTCTTTCTTAATATTACATTATAGAAATTGATAATGTGAAATATTGATGATAAGAAGCGATGCGTAATAAACTTGTAATAGGCGTCGGAACCGGAGGGAGGGCTAGAGGGGGCAGCCTCCCAAACTTATTTTTTCAAAGATAGACATAATATAGGCTTTGAAAATTGGGGCATAGTCCCCAAACGTTTTTTGGGGGTGGGGGTTGGTTTAGCCCCCCTTTCAAATTAGCCCCCCTTTTCAATTTTTCAGTAAATATACTATTATTCTAATCTTAGTTTATTTTTCAAAAGAACGTTCTTCATTGAAAAAAAAGAACAAGGTTTCAGTAAATATATTCTGAAATTAATATATGTATATATAAGTTAGTAGACAAATGATATAGAAAGCTGTATATCACAGTACAGAACTATACATGTACATAAATCTGGGGGTAATGTGGGCGTCAATATCCAAAATTACGTTCATTCATGCAGTTGCTACATGTAAGAGATATTTCCATGCAGGTGCTAGATGCTAATTCCATGCAGGTGCTATGTGCTATTCTGAGTGCATATGCTACATTAACTTTTAAAAAATTCCAAAGATAAACAAATAAACCATGTGAATAAGTGCAAGCAAGGATGCATATTTATAAAATATGCCAAAGAAGGTGAAAAAAAAATAGATACATACTTTTGGAAGAAAGCCCTAAATGTAGGTGTGAAATCATGTACCCCATAAAATTAGACAGACCGACTCTTTCAAGGAAACTGAAATTTTAGCTTAAACTCAAAAAAATTCATGTGACTGTATATTGAGTGTATATATGAAGAAAGAATAAGGAAAAATGACAAATGGTTAACAGAAATTAAGAATGCATTTGCATGATCAACCTTGTTTAATT